CCCCCCAGAGTCAAAAACGCAAGCTTTCAAAAGAATGAATATAATGGAAAGGAAGCTTCAGGGGAATGCAAAGTTGTTGGAACAATTTAACAACACCTTTGTGAAAGATCTGGAAAAAGGTTATATAAGAGAGCTGTCCAAAGAAGAAGTATTGAAATATGAAAAAGGATGCCACTATTATTTGCCTCATTTTCCTGTTTTTCATCCTGATAAGCCAGAAAAGGCCAGAAGAGTAATGGACGCTAAAGCTAAAAACCATGGCATAAGCCTGAATGATTTGGTTCACACTGGCCCAAATTTAATCAATGATATTTTAGCAGTGCTTCTTAGGTTCAGAATGCAGAAAATTGCCATGAATGCAGACATTGATTTTTTTCCACATGTTAAAGTAGAACCTGATGAGCAGAGCATGCTCATGTTTATGTGGCGGCATCATCCCAATGAAGAAATAAGAACATATGCCAGCCAAGTTCACATTTTTGGAGCAGCTTGCTCACCCAGCATAGCCAATTTTTGTTTGCAACTTTCCGCACAAAAGGCACCCAATCAGAAGATTCAAGAAATCATAGAAAAAGTTTTTACGTTGATGATTTTTATGCATCCTTTGATACTGTAGAAGAAGCAAGGTGTTGCCTGGAGGTTTCAAATACTTTAAAGGCAGGAGGGTTCACCCTTTCAAAATGGGTGAGTAATGAGCCAGAAGCAATCCCCAAAGAATTCAGAGAACGGGGGCAGAAAGTCAAAGAAATCAAGACAAAAGAAGAGTTTACAAAAGCCCTAGGTCTCAAGTGGAACAAAGAAGATGACGAGTTTTTACTCTCAAGAAGGGAAAAAGAAAATGACCTTGAAAGTCCTGCAAAGTTTCTATCAGCAGTGGCAAGTTTATTTGACCCTATAGGTTTCTTTGCTCCAGTAAAAATAAGGGGAATGACATTGATGAGTGAAATATGGAAAGCTGTAAAGGTATGGAAAAACCCTTTAAGCGATACCATGCAAGCAAAATGCAGAGAATGGATTGAAAGTCTGACCAAAATTAATGATAGTAGAATGCCAAGGTGGACAGGCTTAAACATCAAAAGTAAAATTACTCTGCATGTGTTTTGTGATGCATCCATCAAAGCTTATGGTGCTTGTGTATACATCTGCAGTAAAGAAACATCACCCAATTTATTGATTGCCAAAGGCAGGGTGGCTCCAGAGAAAGTCACAAGCATTCCAAGGCTAGAACTTTTGGCTGCAGTAATTGCAATGTGGCTGTTGTTATTTGTAAAGCAAACATTGTCAAAGTTTCAAGTAATCAGAGCCATCCTTTGGAGTGACAGCAGTACAGTAATCACATGTTTTGGAATTCCACCAAGCAATTACAAGCCATTTTTTGCTGATCGCATAAGTGAAATACAAGAGATCATGGATGATGTAGCCCTACAGGGAATGAAATTCGAAATCAAACATGTTCCAACTAAACAAAATCCCGCTGATTTAATATCACGTGGTTGTAATGCTAACGAGATACAAGAAAATTGGAACACATGGGTAAATGGTCCAGTCTTCCTTCAAAAGGATGAAAAGGATTGGCCACAAGTTAAACCAAAAGAAAAGGTTAACGATGATGCTGAGCAAAGACAGGCAGTGGACATACATCTACTGCAAGTTGATGAGCAGCTAATTGAAGAAGTTCCCAAGGAATGCAAAGATTTGAAATGGAATGAGTTCTTGATGAGAGATGTCCCTATAGAACAACAAAGTGTAGCATTAATGGTTTCTAAAGAAACGGAAATTTGTAAGAAGCATCAGCAGCTACATTTTCCTCAGGAAATTCATAAGGCTAAAGCACAAAAAACAACTGTTGCTGGATATAGTGGGTCTTTAAAACACTTGTTGTATTTCCTAGATGACGTGGGACTCTTAAAATTAGAATCTTGTTTTGGTAATGCAGAATTCATGCCATTGGAAGAGCAGGCTCCAATTATTTTAAAGGGAAAATCGGAGTTAGCTAAACTTATCATTTGAGACGCACATCAAGCACATTGCCATGCTGGTCCTGAAATGGTACGAGCTGAAATTCTCAAACTCTTTTATCTTACAAGAGCTCACAGGACAATAAAGCATGAAATCAAGGAATGCGAAATATGTAACGCAAGAAAGCCTAAGCCCATTAAGGCACATATGGCTCCATTTCATGTAAATTGCTCAGATTACCAAGGGAACCCTTTTGCTCATGTAGGTATAGATCATTTTGGCCCATTCAAAATAGTTGGTGGTAAATGTTGGGGCCTTCTGCTGATTTGTTTAACTACCATAGCAATTCACCTAGAGGTGGCTAAGAAATTAGATACTCTGACGTTCATTGATAACTTGGAACGTTTTGCTAGTCGGCGGGGTATTCCTAAGAAAATATATTGTGATGCAGGAACTACATTTAAAGGTGGAGAAAATCTAATAAGGCAAATGCTTGAAGATCCTAAATGCAGTAAGCAGTGTAGAGATAAATGGCACTTTGAGTTTGAAGTGAATCCACAAGGCTCTCCTCATTGGGGCGGAAGCTGGGAACGAATGGTAAGAGAAGTAAAGAAAAGCTTCAAGAATGTTATGAGCCAATATTGAACTTGAATAAATTATGATGGCGTCATTACATTGTTTGCTAAAATAGAGGGAGATTTGAATAGAAGACCTATTGCCTTTGATGATAATGGCCGGGCAATATCTCCTTTTGATATCATAGCTCCTGCCTGTAATGATGTTTCTTACATACCATGGTATGCTAAGTTGGCTGAGATGCTAGCAATTGTTGAGTTAGTGGGGCTAAGCTTTTGGAGACGTTGGCGAGTTTATTACTTGCATTCTCTGCGTCTCAATCATGTAGTTACAGGAGCAAACTTAGAACCTAAAATTGGAGACAAAGTCCTAGTGGATGATAGCAAGGGAAATTGTTTTCAGCCTAATTTAACTCAAGGCTTGATTAAGGACGTTCATCCTGGACATGATGGTTGTATACGTAGTGCCACAGTTGTTGCTGATGGTGTAGAACGTAAAATAGGAATCAATAGAAATTACTTTTCAGAATTCTTAAAACGATATGTTCCCTACTTTTTGGGGGGGAGTGTTGCGGAAGATAAATTTAGGTTTCTTTTTAATTTAGTCTTCTGTTTAGCTGGCTCAAAGAATTGAGACCAATGGAATGTTTCTTAATCTTTTGTTTCTTTTATTTTCAAAGCACAGGATGTCCCACAGAAGGTTAAGAATACTTTGGGAAAGAAGGCACAGCCTTATTTATTTTGTTTTATTTTTTACGCCGCGTAGAGGTCGCACAAAGAAAGGGTTTGGTTGCGCAATGTTAATTTTGAAGTTTCGCAATCAGAAAATATATTTTGCGGAAATGTATTTTAAGAAAGAACCATGCATGCTATCAAATTTGATGTGAAGACAAAAAAGATAGAGAACATCAAGATCTAGCTTTTGAGAGGCCAAACGATTTTTTATTTCCAATATTCGCGGAGATATGAGCTTTGGTATTTCGCGAATCGTGATTACGCCATGTGTGGAGTTTTCTTTTCATCTGGTTTTGTCTTTGTTCCTTGATTGAAATCTTGTTTTTTATTCCAAAACTGTGCACGAGTTTTTAATCTGATTGAAGTTTTCTTGTTGAGTGTTGAATAGAAAAATGTATGAGTCTCTTGGAAACATCCAAATGGTGCGGACGTTTCTTTTCTCTGGTGCACCCAGCCTGAAATTTCATCATTAAGCTATAACGCCCACAAACTGTGTAATTGTTTGTAAATTCAGTTATTTCTTCCCTCTGGGCAAAGTTACTTAATTTTAAAGTTGAAAAATATCCCCAGCAAATATTCTTGAAAAAAAGTTGAAAAATTTCACTTTGAAGTCATTGTCATTTACATGATGGGAAAGTAGGATTGATGCCATTTGACCTTTGAAATTCCAAGTCAAAGAAATTTTGACAGCTCTTTGAGATTCATCAGATGATCCCTCCAAAGATATGGGTACAAGATTTCAGGCTTGCGATTCACTTGCAATTTCGATTGTGGGAAAAAAGGAAAACACCATAGCAATTTCAATTGTGCACAAACTTGAAGGTGTGGCAGCACTTTCGATTTCGATTGTGCAAAACGTGTCATAACAAGTTTTGATTTCAATTGTGCAACAGAAATCTTGATTGCGATTAACAACCCTGGTCTGCTACCACTTTTTCAAGAAAAAACAAGCTTGACTCTTAAAGAGGAAGAAGCTCAGATAAGAGATCCAAAATATAACATGAGAAAAAACAACTTTCAATTAATTGGCTAGAATCAATTTGCAAGATGTGCTAAATAATCAGAACACATTTAAGCAGCTGGGCTGCAGCTAGGACAATTTTTGTCCTAGTTTGAGATGATATATTTTCAGAGAAATACAAGTTGATCAAATTAATACACTGGTTTTAGTTTCTAAAACTTGAGTTGCAAAAAAAGATTCTCATCTGAGATCTGCCTGGGTTTGCAACACAATTGCAAGTTTCTGAAGATTGAAATTGTTGGAAATCAGAAAAGGAAATTTTGAAGGACATGATATCAGAGAAAGGCTATTCTTTGCTGGAATGTTGTTGCTCAGCCTGGGAACCTAACTTGGGTTTGGTTCACAGGCCTCCAAGAAAGACAAATTTCCGCTAAATTTTTTGAAGGACTGAAGGATTAAGAGAATATTTACTTCTTGGGCACTGTTCTGTTGCATTTTTTTTCCATCATTGCCCTTTCATCACCGAAATGTAAAAGGTTAAAATATGTTCCTGATATATGATAGATGTTCCTGATAGGGCTAAATGATTCAAAAATTATTTCAGAGTGCAGCAAACCTTGGTTTGCAAACCTTGGTTTGCTGCACGTTTTCCTTTTACTTTCAGACAGGAAAGGAAAGGGAAAGTAGTCTTGTTTGAGCACAGGGTTTGCCAACCTTCTTCCAGGTTGGCATCCAGGGGGGATGCCGACATGGAAGCAGCAGGGACCAGGTTTTGTGACTGGTTTTCTCGAAATTGCCACATTTTACCTTCTGGATGACTTTTGGTGTTCTAATATAATAAGGGAGAATATTTTTGTTGAAATCAGACCATTTTCAGCTGTGCAATTGGAAGGTTCCCTTCCATCTTGGGGATTTTTGTGAAACAAAACTGTTGAGTACATGCCTGAATTCTTTTTCAAAGGTGACTTTGTTTCAAGCCCACGGTCGAATTTATGTCTACATAAGGGAGCATGAAAAATTGAACTACCGTGCCATCATTGATCAGGCTTGGTTATCCCATTGACTGGCTGGAGTATATTATTCGAAGGTATGAATGCATGAATCATCTCGAGACGCATTTTCCCGGAGAAAAAAAAAATCAACATCTAATCAGTCGATAAGTTCAGATAACATTCCGGTTGCCGCCTGCTGCGCTTGATGAAAATGCGACATCATGTGCAGCATTAATAAGCCATCTCCTCAATCTTCAAGTGCATTTGCTATATATAGGCATTGATTCGTTTTCATCTTAGTCAGTACTTCACCCTTGATGATGGTCATTATCGATGGCACTCGGAATGAAGCCGGCAGGCGTTTCGTCCTCTTCATAGTCACACAGTCCTCGGACTTTGTCGCACGAAGTACTCGGCGGGCATTTGGAACACGGATCACCGACCTCGTACACGGGAGTGCCAAGCACGTTTCCTCTGTGCAAAAAAATAAAAAAAAATCCATTCGAGTCAATGTCTGCTCACTGCACGACAGGTATATAAACGAGATTGTCCAACCAAATGTTTCGAGATAGAAATAATGTAACGATTGAGCTCTAAAACGAGCACAGTATACCGGTATTGCTCAGAAGAAAGAAAAAAAAAACTTCTCTGGCACAAGAACGAAAGGGCGGCCTTCATTGCTTGACTTTTTTTTGGCTGCAAAATTGACCAGCTTTTACCCATCAAAAGATGAAGCACTCATTTCGCAGATTTTTCTTTTCGTGTGTAGCCCAGATTCATCAGAATTCTCGAAATTCGCATAGCATGAGTTTCATGGGGTGCGTTCGGGTGCTAAAAGATAATTCCGCCATTTTCATCATCAGCCGCCTTAAAGTCTTCACATTTTAATCTGAAGTAAAGGCTGTGAAGGTGGCCATAAATTTGGCTGAATAAATCATCAGTATGACGGGAACGTTCAAAATTTATGCCACGTTCATGAAGCTCAAGAAATTTCAAGTGAACGCTGAGTCTACGCAAAAAAGTCTGTTAAATGGGCACGTCATCTCTCCAGTAACAACTAAAGAACATCAGAAGGCTGCCAGCTCAAAGATTTTATGAAAAATATGTCGAACAAAGCTGAAATTTTTTTCTTGAGCCAAAAAGAATGTTTTGTCTGCAGGACGATTGTTTTTTGAGGGCCAATATATTGAATGCAATTTCAATTTATATTCCCAAAGCATTTTCATACATTGGACCCTTGGTTTACAAACTTGAATGGTTCCAGACCAAAGTGTTTTAATCTAAAAGTGTGTCCACCAAGTTGATTTTCTTTTTGACTTCAATGGGGAAGAATTTAACCTGTTCTGCAAGCCCAGAAGACGTTTGAAAATTGATTTTTTTCAAATTCAGGGCCTTCAAATTTATCCATATCGAGTTGTTGCTTTAGCTTGTATGTTCCCAGAATGTCTTCATAGTGTTTGAGGGAAATAACCATGATGAAGAAAAAGCTAAAAATGATTCACAACCAGAGGAACACACACCAAAGAATACTTGTTACCTGGAATGATATTTTTCTTTTTTTCAATGCTGCAAGTAAAAATTATTTCTATTTGTGTGATATTTGAACAAATATAAATTCAATGAATAGACTTCATCCAAAGCTTCTTCTCAATGCAAATTCACAACCTCTCTCTACAGTTGAACTCAAACCGTCGTGCACCACCAGGTCCTCAATTAAGTGGTGGACCCAATAAAATGTTGTGCCAACCATATGTCTAATCAAAAATGTTCCGTTTCCTTGACTCGGTGATTGGAACTGGAATGATTCCAAGGAGAGGTGCTTCTTCCCTCTAGAAATATTTGGGACTTTTTTTTTGAAATTTTGGATTATTTGAGAATAATTTCCGTGATTTTCTGTTTGATAAATCCTTGCTTGTCTGCGCTTTCTTATTCATTAGACACTCAGAAATCTAATTTCTTTCACTAAACAATGAACTTCTTTTCTCACATTCATGCAAAACTTTGCACAAAAGTCAGCAGTTCTAAGAGTTTATGAAGAACTTTGCACAGCAGTGAAAAATGAAAGTAAATTCAATGAGCAAGGGCTGATTTATTCTCCATCAAAGCAAGATCTTTCATTTGTTGCTTTTTGTTATGAGTTTAGCTGAGATTGAAAGTCTGGCGATTGAGACTCATGAAGAAGAGAACAAAGCTAATCATTTTGAAGAAAAATCGAAGCAGATCCAATGGCGCTGGGGTTCTACAGATGCAGAAGTTTATCAAAGAATTGACACTTGCAAAGAAACATGAAACTTGCAACTGGTGATCAATGGGAAACAAATTACTCTTCATGCAGAGATACTGTTTGGAAGACAAAAAAAATTAATATAAGAAAACAATAAAACCTTTAAATATTTTTTTATAGTTTTTGAAGTCTGTATACGTTTGAAGAACTGCACTTGTGCAGTTCTTCAAAGACTTGCACAAAAATTATTTACTCCAGTCAATAGTTTTTGCACAAATTCGTAACACAATTTTCACATATTATTCTGCATTCGGGGAAAGGCAATGAGCACCAAAAACTATTCAACTGTAGGATGAATAAGCGCAGTTCTAGACACATGGTTGCAGCGAACAAAACCAAGAATAGAAAAGCAAATACAGTATTCCTGTCACAGAAGAGCGTATCAATTTCCTCAATAGATCCTCGATTGGCATACAAATGCAGGGATGAAATATTTGCACTTGGATTGCACCATAGATTTCAACCTCAAAATCAAATCATCAAATTTGAGATTTTTTTCCCGATGAAAAAAAGTTTGTTGACGGAATTATGGTTTGTTAAAGAAGGGATTTCTCTTGCAGACCAAAAGTTTGTTCACCACGGGGTTTTTTAACGAAAGTATCGGCTGTATACAGTATAGACCCCTCAAACATCAGAGTACAGAACCATTCAAGAAGAATAGAAGGAAAAAAAAACGCAAATTAAAAATTGCAAGGAAAGATCAATAACGTGCAAGAAAACTAGGAACACACAACAAGAACCGGAAACTCACGCTGGACCATAGTTGCAGATGTACAAGTGGGTGAAGGCACGGCCCAGCAGGCCTCCTCCGGCAGCGGGTTCCTCGTACGAGGCGAACCCGCAACCCACCAGGTAGGTGAAGTCCCAGATCATCTGCGTGAACGAGGCCCAGGTGTCGTCGTGTGTGTAGTTGGAGAGCACCCCCGGGGGCAGGTCCCGTCTGCTGCTGACCCAGTTGCCCACGGCCAGGCTCCAGCGGGGAACGAAGGAGGCCGACTGCAGGCCGCGGAATCGCAGCAGGTTCTGGCCGACAAACCGCAAACGATCTGCAAAAAGGCACTTGTGCTGATCATCATCTTACTACTCATGTATACTGTCAAGCAATCGACATCGAAATTTAAATAGATGGACATGTATGGGTTTCATATATTGGTAAATTTACGTAAAATAACACTTCGTCCTGCATGGTTATGCAGTAAACACATGCGGAGGGGTTCTGGAGTGCCAGCAGGCAGGTGTCACTCCCATCTGGTCACCACAAACACGAATATCAAAAGACAAATCCTATATATTATACCTGTGTTCACCAACGCTTTTGGGCTCGCGGACAGGAGAATTTATACGAATTTTTTCGATGCACTGGCAAATGAAATAAAACAACTACTGTATGCAGACCGGTAAAATTTCAAACATTTTTTGCAGACCCAAAAAAGTTATGTTTGAAACACTTTCTGGATGGCAGGTATTTGAAAGGTTGCAGCTTTTCTGCAAAAATTAAGTTGACAACCTATGAAGCAGATTATATAGGTCGTGAACGTCTTCAAAAATTGGAAAGGTCGGCTTGCAGAAAGAATCTTGAGAATGTAATTTAAAAATACGCATTTCAGTCTCTTGTTTACGATTCGTGAAATTCAGGAAGGTTGGATCACAAATTCCTCTGAATTACACAGATTTTAAACTGATGAATTTGCAATTCGCATCTTCATTCAAAAAGAAAACGGAACAAGCAATAAGCATTTCCGAATATATAGCATAACATTGAGGAAAATAAGCGCGTTCCGTTGTACGGGAACTCCGAGTACAGTACTGTATAGCGGAACAAGTTCGGGAATGAATTAGTTTCGTTATACCTGCATACAAATAGACCCACTGCTGTATGCTCAAGAATTTAACAAAGGTCCTGCTGGATTATTCACCAACGAATCTTGAACACTCAGTCAGATTAAATGTTGTAGTGCATTCCTAGTCCCTTCAGAATTTCATCAGCGTCGATTTTATCGCGAGCAGTACCGTACTGTAATGGATTGTCAATTCAATAAATAACTTGAGTCACGAGGGCGTTCAAAAAATCGTAACGTTCACAATTTTGGTGCGGGTCGAACTCGAGATACAGGCTCAAATCAATCGAGGGGCCTCAACAGTCAGAAAGGGCTTCATTGTCTTCGACAGAAATCACCAAAAGACTTTTCATCCTGAGGCAGTCCATTTCCTTGCGATAATTATTTTATTTTACCATTTCACCATGAAGCAAATGATAACAATTGCCGTTCCAGCAGGTAAACATTTCTTGCAGAGTTCCGGTCAAGGTGGAGTATTTAACTTTAATCATGTAGTTTCTGTACCTGCAGTACATTAGTTGTTTTCATTTTTCTCTTATTTCCATTTGACTGACGGAATGATGAAAAGCTTTTTAAAGGGTCTAGTAAGCATGTAAGTTGCCTTTCAAAACTTTGATGCCGGTCCATACGTAAGGTGATGAAACTCTGCCGGTGAATTCCTTTCTTCTCTCCAGAAGGATGAAGATTGTGATCTCAGGCAGGAATAATGAATTTAAAAAGGGATGAACCATTAAAGAATCAGAAGTATAGATTTTCGAATGTGCGTGCCGGTTTGTACATACAGCACAATACTTATTAATAAATCAAACCGAGAATTGAAACAGCTACAGCAGTGTAGTTTTTACTGCATATACAGCACTTGTCAGAGTACTGTAGTGTAGTGTACATAGTATACATGTATGCAGAAGAATTGAACTCACCGGTTCTTCGACACTGGTCGCAGTCAGTGGTGAAGTTGCACTGGTCCGCCCAAGACTGCGCCAAGTAGGCGAGCTCTTCATCCCACACCTTTGAAAAAAAAAGAGGATCGACCTGAAGTAATCATCATCATCACGACGACATTAATGAAGACAATCACCATTTTGGCCATGGCACCAGCCGTGGGCATCAGCGTCGTCGCGTCATCGTCGTCGCCAATCATCCGAACTTGGCCCCGGGCTACCCGCGACCGCATCTCGTTATGGGCCTCCAGAATGACTCGTTTGTCGTCTGCATTCATCAGGCCTCGCTTCACCTTCACGCAACCCGTCACCCCTCGTCTGCAAGAAAGCAAGCAAGCACGAGAAGCGGATCAAGACCCGAAACCCCATTTCCATGCAAATCACGATGGCAAAACTCGCATTATCAACAAACAAACCCACAAGAACCACCACAACCGCCATCAGCAGCAGCAGCACCAGCGTGCGTCGACATTATTATGCGAGGCATTGATTCGATATCCTCTCGGAAATTGCCCCCACTCCCCCCCCCCTTTTGACCCTCGTCGTCGGGATAACTTATGCAGTACAGTACATTATATATAATTCTCATCCTTCAATAAGAACGACGACGACGACGATGGAGTCAACCCTTCATTCAGGAAAGTGTGACACAGCCCTCCTCCTCCTACACCCGGAACTGCACTATTCAGCGGCAGAAGCGGAGGTGAACTTCCTGCGGATCTAATTACTTTTTGCGCATGGAAGGCCAGGATTTCTCATGCTTCTTTCTTCTTTTTTTTGTGTGTGTGTGTGTGTGTGTTCATATCATCTTGATGCTGGAAACAGCCTGATATGACGTGATTTTTCCATCAATCATGCATGACTCGCAGCAGTTATTTATAGTGCGGCTGAGAATCTTGAATGAGACTAAATTGCACAAACCATTCAAGAAGAGAAATTTCCTCAAACTTGACATTGTGACACTCATTACCTTGTCGGTAAATAACCTGCTGCACCTACAGTATTGCACTGTACAATTTTGACTGCACCCTTGTTTAAATATTGAAATTAAATCAATTAATTTATGAGACACTCAACTTCTCATTGGCGATGGAGAGAAGCATGTCGTAATGAGTGAGTTATTTTTCGAAAGTCTTGGAGTAAAGTTGAACTTGCGTCTGCATAAGTTAATTTTAGGGTTATGATGCTATTTAAATAATAGTCGACCTTTGTTTCCTGCTGACTATACTCTACCACTCATCCGAGTGCAGATATATTTGTTACTCCATTACTTGGGTGTTTGTGGAAATGTCCTCACTTCACCTATTGGATTTCTTTGCTAATGTATTTGTTACCTAAAGCTAAATACAATTTACTAATTTAACTGGATTTTAACACCTGAAAATTAAGGGTACTTTTCTTATTGAATGCTCCAAGTGGGACAAGTTGTTTTTGTGCCACAAGATGTTCGTTTTTCTGCACACCAATTTTATCAGCGAGCATGCTTGAGTTTAATTTTCATCACCCATGTGCTTTGGCTCAAGATTTATTTTACTAAAACGTGAATATATTTTCATGTAAGAGCCAGAGGAATATTTTACCTCCTTCCAACATTGTATAGAACGTCGCGAAATTCAATTCAACATGTTGCGGAAATACGTATCTTGATTTCCGAGGTTATAGGCTTTAGAATGTTGCGTCATACTGTAGGACATTCAATGCTTTGTCTCGGGATTTCGTTTCTGGTTTCCAGAACTTGTTTAGGGTTGAAAGATCTAACCGGCTTTCGGCAGACGTCTCAGACCCTCCTTTCTGACCTTGGGCACAAGATTAGATAAAAAAACAGCGAAAAGCGCAGAAGTTTCATGAAGTTTTGAGGTTGTAAGAAGAAAAGATCCCAGTCCGAAACTGGGCTTGGGATAATGTTTTTGATGAGGAAATTTCAACAAGTCAGAGAAGAACATTATAGCTCTTGGAAAAATGAAAAATTCACTTGGGTTTCAATTTGTTGCTAACAAAAATCTACCTTGAAAAAATTAAAAAAATTCACAAGATGTAGGCAAGTTCATTCTAATAACTACATCGAATTTTCGTTTTTTGTGTGGCTCGAAAAAGTTTGAAGAGCTCATGCCAGGAATAGAAAACTCACAATGGAACTTGGAAGTTTTCACTTATCATGCAGTAAATCTGAAAAAAAACACTATCTTACAATTGCATGGACTAAATTAAATTCTTTCACAGTGGTACGTACTCCAGAAATCCCCAAGTCCAAGCAGAAGTGCGACAACCCTCATAAATACTGTACTGTACAGCACATTCAAAAAGATGAATAAAAAGTTCTCAAAAATCCCTGCATGTGCAACACCTCTATATATCAACACGCAGGAAATTGACCTGGTGGTACAATTGACCAAAAGTACAGTTCACAGTACATATTATAGTCGTAGTACTGACCTCTCCAGACAGCCAGTGTGGTTTGCCGCGAACTTTGGGTAACAGGCGTCGGGACTGAAGCTGGAGGAGAAGACGTGATGGATGCTCCTGTGCAACGTGCCCAGGGCCTTGCTGCCCGGGGGCAAGTCCGCGTTGTCGATGATCTCGTGGGCCCTGCGATGCAACAAGCCGAAAGGCAATCTCCGCTTCTTCTCACTGCAAGTATGCATGGAGTTAGTTACATACCCGACAACATGTCAGTCAAATCAATGAAAGTCGATTCGAATACAGTAATTCACTTCATACTCAACTCGGCTGGTTGCAGAGTCTCCAAGGTCTGGCTCTCGAAGGACTCGAACATCCTGTCGAATGCCGACTGCAATTCCCGGTTTGTCTCGGCGTCTACAACTTCGGGATCCACGGAGTTCATCACCGACCGCAAATTCTTGCGCAGTCGCAAAAACGAATCCGACTCGATCACCTTTTCTTCATCGTAAATATCTTCTGCTCGAACGACACTGGCCGCGGAAAATACAACGACGAGCACCGCGAATATTCGGCACAACCACGGGCGAGCAGAACGAGTCAACTCCATTTATGCTTGCGAACGTTCACGCAGCCTCAAACTAAAGCGAAGTGAACGACCAAGTTATGATGAACCACCTACACGCACAGGATGCTTCGCCCAGTCGCAATGGAATGGCCGAGAATTTCCACGTTCACTGCAGCAGACTCGTCGTCCTTGATACTTCCTGTTCGTGCAAATAATAGGAGGGAACCCCTTGGTTTTCTTTTTTTATCGCATCTGCTTCTTAGGTGGACAGCCTCCATCATCCCCACAACGCACCACATTTCCCCACTCTGGACGGCCTTGACGTGCTTTTGTCAATGGACCGGTTATTTTCATGAGGACAACTCCACAGAAGCAACTTCAGTTTGTAAATCCTTCCCTTTCATCCTGTTTTCACGTGATCATTCTTTCCTCATGCCTTCAAGTGCACCCTTTTACTTCCGTTTTCATCTTCGACTGTGAACTAGTTAACGGAACAATCACGCGAATCATCATTATGGAGTTCTCCCCGTAGCGGATGGCGCATCAACTTGCCACAGTTGCTGAAATGATAAAACGTGTTTGGCAGACATTGCCTCAGTATTTATTGCCTTTCTTCGACAAGACAGCTTTCATTCTTGTTCCATTTGAAGCAATTTGATGCATGATTTTATTTTTTTAGCTTAGAGTGCAAAAAAATAATTTCAGACACGGTTCTATGACACTTAGATGTCCGAATAGTGAGTTCAGGAACTATCTCCAGGGTTTAAAATTATCCACAGAGGAAAAATAAAAAGGGTCACCCAGACGCTGCTCGCCGCCCCTTGTGTCCAGTGTCAGAAGGCAGCTGGCATAGTCCCTATTTTGGGGACAACATTTTCTTCCAAAACCATATTAAATATTTAATATTTCAATTATTGAATATTTAAACTAACCTAAAATAACTAACCTAAACTAACTAACCTACCCTACCCCAAAAAACCCAATACTAAATTGAACTAACCTAACCTACCCCAAAAATCCAATACAAGTACTGTACTAACATATTTAACCTAACCTAACCTAACTAACCCAACCCATGAGTATGCCCGGACAGGGGCATAGGAAGTCAGGATGTCCCCCAAGCTCTCTGTGGATAGACACACCAAATACCTATAGGAGTGCCAAGTACCGCAGCATGCACTTCCACAGATTGAATTCTGTTATGCATATTTTGTCTTTTATGCAAGAGGAAAAACTGCTTCCAGAGGCAGTCTGTTCTGCAAAAATCTGTTGTGCAGGGGTTGACTGTATCGTGTGTATATTACTGTTCAGTGAAACTTTTTTTTATCAAATACTCTCAAGAAACCAGCAAAATAATTCCACCTTGAGAGCTGTTTAAGTTCTGAAAACAATCAGTTTTGTTGGGGAAAAGAAAGAAAAACAGGAAATTGTAATTGGTGATATTGGGGACCTTGAATTTTTAAATATGTTGACAAAATGATAAGCTTGGAGGCACATCAAGTCCCATATTCATTTTTTCCTATTTTCACTGCCAAAAAAATCCCAAAGGTCTCCAGAAAATTCCACCTGTGCAGATTGAGGGAAGCCTTTGAATTCCAGGGATTTTTAGTGCACTGTCCCACCCGCCATGTACAGTACGTCCAATTTCATTACTCTGCAAAGACCCTTTTAATGTGATTCATATGTATGAAGTGTGTAGGGAACTTCACAATTTTCTGTCAAGTGCACAATGAATGAGAATCTGACCATATACAGTGGGTCCCCAAGATGCAGATGTATTTGGTGCCAGTGGACCTTGACCTTGTCTTTATGCTGGAATGTCCACTTGTTGAATCACATTTTCTCAAAGACTTCAATGGGAACTTATTTGATGGGTTCTCCCCTTTATTTCAGAATTAGGAATACAGGTAAGAATTTTTTATTCAATTATAATTTTCACCAAAGTCAATTACTTTTACTCATTACTTTTAAGCTTTAAAAACGTTAGGTGTAGAGAACTTCATGATTTTTCCAATGCAGTCTGAAAATCCAATTTTAATGCATACTTTTTTGGCAAATTTTTAACAATAAAAAATTGGGAAGAAAAGGGGAAACGTGAAATCAAACTTTTCAGTTTAGCATATTATAACTTTTTGCTTTTTATGCAACTCAAAATTTGCTTGCAGGGTGTCATGCACACTGATGTTCCACAAGCTTACATATTCTACTATTTAAAACTTTTGAAAATTGAAATAGCTGAAATTCATATAGAGTAAAATCATTTTTGTCGAGATTTTTACAATTTTCACATATGTTTTTATATTTTTGGGTGTAACTCTGTCTAATGTCAGCCTTTTTGCATGCTTAAAACATCTGTGTGCATACAATAGCTGAAAATATTTTGAAAAAAGATTCAAAATTGATTTTTCAACAAATTTTCAATAAAAAAAAATTGGAATGAATCTTTGACATTTTCAAACTTGGAGTGAATTGAAACATTTAACCTGTAAATCCAAGGGTGATCCTATTTCGGTTCATGGACTGCCCGGTTTAGGGACTATAGTCTGTGGAACAAATCTAGTCTGTACACCAGGGAACCAATGTACTGTACTTCAAGAATCAAAGAACAAGACCAAGCCTTCTGATATTATGCAAAGAAATGGAAAAAGAATTTAAAAATGAAGAGGACAATTAGCCTGTTTTTGATTCAAAATTTTAGTAAATTCATAATGAAATCTATTTCCAATTCTTGTGAATATAAATAGCGTTTCAATTTTTTTGAAGATGTTCCAAAAGCGTCCATGTATCTCAAACACATTTTCGTTCATGGCTTTTGTTTTTGGTGGTGTGAAATTCTGAGAAAAGTGCGCCTCGCCATGCACTGTGTATCACAGCAATAACAATGAAGACCCGATTCCCGACCAAGTTCTTGGACTCATCACTGGGTGTGCCGTCTTGTATGCTGAAATGAGAAAAATAAACTTCCGGGAAAAACAGCGGCAGCGAGGACGACCGTTGATGTTCGGAAAATATAGAAACTTTCATCGGGATTGGCACGATTATTTGCGATGATTGCGCAATCAACGAGCTGCTCGTGCAAACGACCATGAGTTGTGGTGTGTGTGTGGGTGTTCGTTTTATCGTGATATATTCGTAGAGCAAAAAGATGCCATTACACTAACAGTCGACAGTCATCTGGACCTCAAACTGTTGGCCCTTGCTTTAATTGGAGGAATGAACGGACCTCAGAGTCATTCAGAAATCCACTTTTTTATTTTTCTTTTCTCGTACGAATAATATAGCGTCCACAAACTTTTCTTTCTCTCCCGCGACATCCTTTTTGCCCTTTCTTTCTTTTTCTTGCAAAATCATCGAACACCGATAAACAGCTCAGTTCTTCTATCATTGTCCCTTCTCTTTCATTCTCCCGGCGTAAAAAAAAAAACAAAACAAAAAAACCAGCCATCAAAAAGTCACACACACAATAGGACACATATTATAAATTTATAATACACACCAGTTTTACAGGATTTTTTGCTTTTACTGGAAAAAAACACAAAACGCAACACATTTCACTGGTCCAACTCCGCGTTTCCTTTCCTCCATTATTCCAGTAGCAAAATAAGAGAAGAAGGCAAAGAAAGAAGAAAAAAACTAATATTGTCATTCGACGAATTAATACAATAAAAAATAAATAAATGAGATACACGAAGACGAGATAGATTTTTGGTTTCTCGTGCCTCACAATCCTTGCATAGGTATAAAAAGTGGGGAATCTTCCCGTCGTCACGCGAAGCCTACACAAACGACGAGGTGGAACGAATATAACACACGCGATAAGTTCCTGCTCTCCTTTTTGCTTGTTTGTTTGTGGCAATGCACTTTGGTTTTGGGGGGTAAAAAAAAGAGAGTTGATTCAGCGACTCATGCTGTGATTTTTTGTGGCGGCGGGGGAAAGATTTTGAACACAGTTCGTGGCCAGGGATCCTTTCGAACCCGATCTAGAAAATAAACTGGAAGAAGACGACATCGCCTTCACCTGCTGCACAACATCACAATACGTATACGTATATGTATATACTTCTATATATATACATATATCCCGACACAACGAATGCACTGTACTGAACTGTACTGTACCTTTGAAAAAAAAAACCATGGGCAAAGCATAATATACATAGGAGCAAAATAAATGTGTATATCATCAGCTAAAGCAGAGAAATTGCCGGAGAAAAAATGCCGCACGTACACGAAAAAAGACGCAGGAGAAAAATAGTCATAAAAGTAACAATTACGCTTGTTACTGAAGCTTTTCGGGTTAAAAAAAGATGCTTCATTCAAGGACGTGGAAGAATTCCTTTCCTTCGAATGATGACAGGTCTATAAACCAGGATTTATCAATTTAGTCTGCATCAATAAGATCAACGAAAACCTTCAGCCTTCAGAAAATACTCTTTCATCTCCTTGACCTAGATGTCGGAGTAACCCAGGGTCAAAGTGGAATATCGCAGAAATGAGGAATTTAACCCGCGCCCGCCAGCAAAACAAACCCACAAACCGAAGTTTGACGACTTGTCAAGTAATATCAGTATCCGTACTGTTATCAGATGATGATTTACGGTATACTGTACTTTTCAAAACTGTGAATGCTGCTGCATTTTCGCTCGCGCCGGTTTTCCCCTCAACGAAATTTCCTGCAAAATTTTTTAATTAAATGATCAGCTCGCGCAACGCAAAAATGTCTCAATCATTTTGCGGTCGACTAAAAATGTCCGTCTCCTATTTCTCTCATCATAGTCGTGCAATAAATCAAGGTTTCCAAGGGACGTCTATACAATCCTGTGTTTGAGCTAGTACAGTACAGTACAGTGCTGCATTTCAAAATCCATTCAGAAAAGAATAATGAGGATGACGAGGGGCGGGACGACATCTCGCGGAGAAACGGAAACTCTTGACGCCACATTCAGGCAATAGGGGACAAAAATTGACGGGAAAAAACAGAGAAGGACACGAAGAAGAAGAAGAAAGAAAGAGAGAAAGCAAAGGCGAAAGGGAAAAAGGAA